CGCGACTCGCGACATCAACAGAGCCTCCAGCAGCCCAGCGACCCGTCCAACTCGCGACTCGCGAGTAAACTCGCGAGTCGCGACCCTGTCGACCCCTGTTTTTATTTTTGCTCGTTTTTACTCGTTTTAGCTCCGTTTTTCGCGCACTATATATCAAAACGAACCTCCAGACCTAAGGAACAACCCTCAATCTCGTTCCTTTCAACTTTTCTCTCCAAAAACTCAATATTGATAGGATAATTTTCTCCGCTTTTCTTTTTTATTTTCTCATGCTTGGAGTGTTGGACACAAAGACATTTGGATTGAAATCTTTCAAGTCTTAATCCGATTGTAAGTATTTCAATTCTATTTTATTATTGTTGATTGGTTTTATGTTCTTAATTCCGGTTAACATGAGATTGAATTTAAGCATGAGGTAATTCATTCACTAGGGTTAGGGGTTTTGATTCTTGTTTGAATTATGTGGAATGTGTTTTGTTCAATCTATGCGAGTTGTGTGAATTATAGGGTTAGTTGATTGATCACCATTCTAACCTAGTTAATCGACGTTTAGAACCGAGAGGGGAGATGTCGGTCGATTTAGGCTCGTATAGAGTAGACTTGTTCGGAAACGTATTGTCTATGTGTTGCTTGTTTGAATGAGTTTATCGTTTATGTATGTGCTCTTGTTACGAAGAGTTATTGAGCATAGCCCTCTAGACGTGTAGGCTTGTTAAATCTCGTAATCGAACAAATAATCGTTCAACATAGTTTGAAACTTGATGAGATTTCCCGACCCCTAGAACTTCTTCCTTTTCTCTAGAGATCTAATTGTTATTTCTTTAAATTGCTTTTCTAGATCTAGCTTGTTTTAGTTATTTCTCCAAATTATCATTGATTAGAGTGTTTAGGATATATTTTCTTTTCGTGTGTGATTAATACCAACGCTAAATTATGAACCGTCTTCCTCGAGAGATCGACCCGGGGAACGAATTTGATCGGTACTCGGTAAAAATAAAAATAATTTGCTACAACAACTATTTCAGGATTTAAGGGAGGTTATTCCTGCAGAGCTGAATGATGAGTTTGTTGCTTTAGTGAGAGTTGAGGAAATCAAAGAGGCTATTTTATGTATCAACCCAACCATGGCTCCTGGACCTGAAGGTATGACTGCAACTTTCTTCCAATCCTTTTGGTCTTCACAAGATGATCTTTGTTCTTTTATACTTATATTTTTAACTCTGGTAGGATGCTAAAAAGCCTCAATCAGGCTCTTACCATTGTGATTACAAAGTGCGACAACCATGTCTTTGTCGCTTAATTCAGGCCTATTAGTGCTCTATAAAGTTATATCCAAAATTCATGCAAACAGATTAAAGCTTGGCCTTTCTATATGCATTAGTAAATTCCAGCCAGTCTTTGTCCTAAATAAGCAAATTCTGGATAATGTTATCATAGCTCATGAAGTTTTCTATTTTCTTAAAAACCTTAGAAATGGAAAAACCTGTTATAAGACCATAAAGCTTGATATGGTCAATGCTTTGATAGAGTGGAACGGGACAGTGTGAGACTGATATTGTTGAAATTAGATTTTAATTCCTCCTTTGTGAGGTGGATAATGAACTTCATCTCTTCTGCTTCATTTCTTTTAATGTCAATGGTGAAGTGTGTGGCTTTTGTTAACTCTTCTAGATGAATCAGGTAGGGGGACCCTCTATCCCCATACATCTTCATTCTGCTTGAAAAAAAAGTTATAAAAATTGAACTTTCAAAAGGAAACTTGAAAGGGATAAAAAATAACAAAACCTGCCTTACCCAATCCACTTATTCTTTGCTGATGACACTATTCTGTTTGCTTAAGCTAAAGTTCACCAGGCCTCTACCTTGTTAAATTTCTCCAAAATTATCAATTAGTCATTGGCCAAAAAGTCAACTTGGATAAATCATACATCTGCTTCAGTGAAACACACCCTAAGCCATCCACTGCAATCTGTAATACCTTGTTAAGTATCAAACCTCAGTCATCCTCCAATTATTTGGGCTTACCACCAGGAATAGGCATATCAAAAGTTGAAACCTTTTTTTTTTGGCAAAATGACGGGAATTAACACGATCTTTACGTGTTTGGCAATTTAATCATGAATTTTAGACCTTGGCAAATAAATACATGACCTTTACATTTTTGGCAAAATGGTACATGCTTTTAACGGCCGTTAACGGAAATC